CTCTGCTACAGCCCCTCCTCCACTACATTTTATAACAAATAATAATCACAATACTTTATCTCTACACTTCTTCCTCTCTACACTTCTTCCTCTTTCCTATAATGCTAGTTATCAGAATACTCTTGATATCATTTCATTTTGTACTATTGATAATTATGATAGAGTATAAGACAATTCAAATTATATGTATATCTGTTACATAGGTAACAAGAATTTATGAAAAATAACTCCCTGAATTTTCAAAAGAGCAGGTGTTGTATATTCAGGCTTTGTGGGATGAAAGGAAAGGAGAAATCATGTAATTATACCCTAGCAAATAAATAAACAGACATCGCTCATGTATACCCTTCCAAAGTTTTGGTTATTGGATTCCTTAAATTATACACAAAGACCTTTTCAATTGAACAATGTTTGTTAGTATTGTCTGCTCTGCATATATCTTGAAGTATTTCTTTAAATTATCCCTCTTTTATCACTGCAATCTGTTCTTTGACTAGCCATTTCACAGAACCCTGATGTGCAGCCTCACACAGTCATTAGTGGTAGCCATGAGGATAGGTGTCCACTTCTCATTTCAGCTCTAAGACACCATTCGGACAGAACCTTGCAAGCCTTGTGCTTCCTGTCTCAGTTTCTGTGATTCCTATATGTGTAAGTCTATGGATTTAGAGGGCTTTGATCTTTGTTCTTCATTCCCTCTGACTCTGAATCTGTTCTGGATCAATTAACCTGAGCCTGGAGGGGAAATTTGATGGAGATATTACATTCAAGGCTGAGAATTCTGAGGTCTCTCACTGTCTGCATATTGTTACTTGTCTCTGTATTTGTTCCCATCTGTTGCAGGAAGAACAAATGATGAAAGCTAACCAAAGTCATGGTCTATAAATATAGCAGAATGCCATTAGTGGTTCTTTTCTTGCTGCATTCTTTTGGTAGAACAGTAGTATTTGCTTTTTTTTCTGCTTTTTCCCCTAAGCTATTTAGTTTCACATTCTTGGTCATGAAAACAGTGTCAGGTATCGGTTCCATCTTGTGTAGAAGGCCTTATGTAGATTTTACTGCTTGGTTACAGCCAAAGCCATTTCACTAGCTTAACTTTTGAAGGTAGGACACCAGTACAATTTTAAGGTTTTGTAGCTGGATTGGTGCTTACATTTCTCCTTTGGTAGCATGCAGAATACATTCCTGTATGAAAGTTGCTAACACATGTATAGGTGAAGGTTCTACGTACACACCAGCTAGATTTCTCTATGTTCAATGAGTTGTTTGTGTGTTTCTTCAGGAACAGGGCCTTGAATTTAGTTTGATGTCATATATGCATAAAATAGGAAGTTTCTTCTGTATTAACTTTCCATAGTAGCACTTACATGCCCTTAAATTTAGCTATGCCCACTCCTATTACCTTCTTCATTGTTATCTTCTTTCCATACCCTTACTTGACTCTCATTCTAGCATATATGGATTCATAACTACCTATTTTCTTTTTCTTAAGAGATTTATCTGCCCCATTCCCAGGCCTTCACTATGTAGGTATGTATCCTCTGTTGTTTTATATATTTTAACTTTCTGATCATTAGCTTCACAACTAATATTCACACATATGCAAATACATACTGTATTTTCCTTTTGAGTCTTGGTTACTTCTCTCAGAATGATTTTCCCTAGTTTACCTGTGAATATCGATTTACCGGAAAGTTTCATGATTTCATTATTTATTTTTAAAGCAAGCCTTTTTCATACATTTATTTAGCTCATAAATAAAGTCATGCACAATTATGATACAGAATACAGTATGTTCACAATGGCATGTCTATATTAAACCAATTAATATGTTATATCTCACATACTCATCATTTTTGTTTTGAAAACACTTAAAGTATACTATCTCACAATTTTTAAAATATAGCATATTGTTATCAACCATATTTATCATGCTCTCAGTAGACCTCAAGACTTCACAGAGTCCATGACTCTTGTCCAACTGCAGTTTTATATCCTTAAACCAATCGTTTCCCCATTGTTAAAAGACCCACATTGAAGCCTGATAGCCACAGTTCTGCTCTCTGTTCCCATAAGTTCATCATTTCTGGTTATACATAAAATTTAAATTGTGTGACCTTTGTCTTCTAGTGTGGTACTTATTTTTTTTGGCAAGTATGTAACTTTACTACTTACTAAAGATGAAATCCAATTTTATATGAATGTGCTTCTTTTGGGTATATGCTTAGGAGTGGAATTGCTGGATCTTGTGGTAGACACATTCCCATTTTCTTGAGGAGTCGCCATACTGATTTCCACAGTGGCTGTACAAGTTGACTCTCCCACCAGCAATGGAGGAATGTTCCTCTTTCTCTGCATCCTCTCCAGCATAAACTGTCATTGGTATTTTTGATTTTAGCTATTCTGACTCGAGTAAGATGGTATCTCTGAGTTGTTTTGATTTGCAATTCCCTGATGACTAAGGATGTTGAACACTTTCTCATGTGTCTTTCAGCCATTTTAGAATCCTCTATTGAGAATTGTCTATTTAGTTCTGTCCCCCAATTTTTAATTGAATTGTTTGGTGTTTGGGGGACTAGCTTCTTGAGTTCTTTGTATGTTTTGGAAATCAGCCTTTTGTCAAATATGGGGTTGGTGAATATCTTTCCCAGTCTGTGGGCTGCCGTTTTTTCTTGCTGACTGTCTCCTTTGCCTTACAGAAGTTTCTCAGTTTCAGGAGGTCCCATTTATCAATTGTTGACCTCAGTGTCTGTGCTACTGGTGTAATGTTCAGGAAGCAGTCTCCTGTACTGATTAATTCAAGGGTATTTCCCACTTTGTCTTCTAATAGTTTCAGTTAGCTGGATTTATATTGAGACCTTTGATCCATTTTGACTTAAGTTTTGTGCAAGTCGATAGGCTTGGGTCTAACTGCAGTCTTCAACATGCCTGCAACCAGTTTGCCAGCACCATTTGTTGAAGATGCTCTCTTTGTTCCATCGTATAAATTTGGATTGTTTGTCAAAAATCAGGTGTTCATAGGTGTGTGGGGTAATACCACGGTTTTCAATTCTATTCCATTTGTGTACCAGTCTATTTTTGTGCCAATATCAAGCTGTTTTCAGGACTATAGCTCTGTAATAGAGCTTAAAGTTATGGATGGTAGTGCCTCCAGAAGTTCCTCTATTGTACAGTTTTGTTTTAGCTATCCTGGGTCTTTTGTTTCTCCATATAAAGTTGAGAATTGTTCTTTCAATATCAGTGAGAATTGGGTTGGGATTTTGATGGGGATTGCATTGAATCTGTAGATTGCTTTTGGCAAGATTGCCGTTTTTACTATGTAGATCCTACCTATCCAAGAGCATGGGAAATCTTTCCATTTTCTGGTATCTTCTTTAATTTCTTGCTTTAGAGACTCAAAATTCTTATGGTACAGGTCTTTCACATTTTTGGTTAGTGTTACCCAAGGTACTTTATGTTGTTTGTGACAATTGTAAAGGGTGATGTTTCTCTGATTTCTTTCTCCACCAATGTTTAATTGGTGTATATTAGGGCTACAGAATTTTTTGAGTTAATCTTGTATTCTCCCACTTTGCTGAAGGTGTTTATCAGCTGTAGGAGTTCCCTGGTAGAGGTTTTCGGGTCACTCATGTAGACTATCATATCATCTGCAAATAGTGAGTGTTAGACTTCTTCCTTTCCGATTTGTATTCCCTTGATCTCCTTTTGTTGTCTTATTGCTCTAGCTAGGATTTCAAGGACAATATTGAAGAGGTATGGAGAGAGTAGACAGCCTTGTCTTGTCCCCGATTTTAGAGGAATTTGATCGAGTTTCTTTCCATTTAATTTGATGTTGGCTGTTGGCGGGCTGTATATTGCTTTTATTATGTTGGGGTATGTTCCTGTTATTCCTGATTTCTCTAACACCTTTGTCATGAAGGGATGTTGGATTTTGTCAAAGGCTTTTTCAGCATCTAGTGAGATGATCATGTATTTATTTTGTTAGTCTGTTTATATGGTGGATTTCATTGATAGATTTTCGTAGGTTGTACCACCCTTGCTTTCCTGGGATGAAGCCTACTTGATCATAGTGGATGATTTCTCTGATATGATCTTGTATTCTATTTGCTAGGTTTTATTGAAAATTTTTGCATCAACTTTCATGAGGGATATTGGTCTGTAGCTCTCTTTCTTAGTTGTGTCTTTGTGTGGCTTGGGTATCAAGGTTATTGTAGCCTTCTAAAAAGAGTTTGGTAATGTC